AGGAGTGGCTGGTGGATTAAATCTGCTGACCTTTTGGTTAGCAGCCTGAGCTATTAACCACTGGGCCATTCATTCATTCATTTCTTCCTAAAGAGAAAGAATAAACACTATATTTTTCTTTCCTTTTTTTTCCTCTGTGAAGAAAGTTCTAACATTTTATAAAAGCACCAAAAAACTTATCTTCATTCAACAAAATATAAATTAATATGTTAGAATTTACTCAGAGATTAAGATTATATGACCAGAATAAATATTTTAGGTGAATCAGTAAATTATCCGATACCAGTAACAACACATAATCACTCAGCAATATGAATAGCAAGAAGTAAGATGGATTGATCCACTACAAATTAACTTTTGAAATACATTTTATTTTATGTTGATAGTAATAACTAAAGTTACTCAGAATTGATACATGTCATTGCTCTATAGAAAACTCATTTAAACCCTACAAGTAAATAATCCGTAAGTGATTAGGATTTAAATACTAGAATACTAGAAAAAATGGAACGTTAAAGTAAAATTTATTTCAAATTGATAAGTGTTAAACATTTTTCAAGATCTTGAAAAAAATATCTGTATATCTATTGGTATAATAGTATACCAATTTTATATATCAGGAAAAGAAAAAACAGATATTTTGCCCAAGGTCACAGAGCTAACAAATGGCTAAAACAGGTACACAGATTCTATAAAATTCCCTTTTACTCAAACAGATAATACTGTTTGCTTTCATTTTCTTTCTTTTTTTTTATAAAAAGGTAAAACCATTTTACATGCTATTATTATATTAATTTAAAAAGTAAAATATTACTAGAGCAAAATTGTATTCCCATGTCACTAGATGGTAATGCACAAAAACTATGTGTGATCACTATTTGAACAATTCAATGTCTGAATTCAATCATTGAATCAACGGTTTAGTGGCAATATATATTTATTTTCTGAAGTTTAAATAGAAATTTAATTTGTCAAGTAATAATCTATTTAGGTGGTCTCAGAAATTTTTTTCAAGATCATAAAAAAATGTTTAACATAGCAATTTGAAATAAATTTCACATTAACTTTCCATTTTTTCTAGAATTCTAGTATTTAAATCTTAATTACTTATGGATTAGTTACTTGTAGGGTATAAATAATTTTTCTATGAAGTTGAGCAATTCCTTATATATTGATTCTGAGTAACTTTAGATTAGTTATTACTATCAACATAAAATACAATTTATTTCAAAAGTTAATTTGTAGTGGATCAATCCATCTTCTTATTACTTGCTATTCACATTGCTGAGTGATTATGAGTTGTTACTGGTATTGGATAATTTATTGTTTCACTTAAAGTACTTACTCTGCTCATATAATCTTTCTCTCTGAGTCAATTCTAACATACTAATTTATATTTTATTGAGTGAAGATATATTTTTTGGTGACTTTATCAACAGTTAGAACTTGCTTCAAAAAAAAAATGGAAAGAAAAATATATTGTTTATCCTTTCTTTTTAGGTAACAATGAATGAATGAATGCCTCCTTCCCCCATGGTTTGAGTCCTAATAATTATAGTATAAACTAAGTATAATTTTTCAAGTGATATAATTACTAAGAGGATGCCCGCTTAGCCTATAACTGAGTAATAGATATTCTGGCCTTTGAAATTAACAGACAACGTTATCAGTAAGGAGTTATAGAATTTTCCCCCTAAAATTCAACCTGAGTTCAATGCACTCTCCTTTTCCATGGGAAAATGGTCATTTTTGTTAAGCATAGTTTGTTTACTTGATGAATATGTAAGTGTATATTCTTACTGACTCTGTGAATAATTTCTTGTCAACTGTTTTATTTCTTAATCTGTGTTGTACAGGTAGTGCCATTAAGATGTTTCATATGCTTCAAAAGTGGGGTGCTTAGAATATGATGGCAGTGTAATTACATAGTACATCATAAGCTATCCGACTTTGGCACAGCTGGAGATTACTTCAGAGCTTTGCATTAATCTGAATGACCCCAGCTTTATTGCTGTTGAGTTTCTAGAAATGATAAAATGTCAGGTCGTTGGAAATAAACCGATGGAACCTAAACAATCTGACATGACTAATGCATAGTTTCTCTGACTTGTTCCATATTCTGAAGACTTTATTATCACCTACAATATTTTATGGAGAAATACTTGCTTTAATGAACATGAGTGGCTTCCACCTTGCTAAAATGTATGTCTGCTGTGTAAAGACTAGAGAATTCAGTGCTCTATAATTGTGCTTTATATATGGTAAAACCTCAAGGCACAGAAAAGATGTAACTGGTAAATCTATGTTTGATTTCCATTATATCTTCATTTTTTTAGGGGGAAGTATATTAGTGGAATATTATTAAGTCCATCTTTTTTAACAATGCAACTATCTTAATTTACCACAGTTTTCCAATGCCATTGAATACTAATAACATTTGAGGGCATAATTCATGCTGCAAAATTTAAATAAATAAAACCACTACTTGATTTATTTTGATACGGTATTACAGAGAATAGTTGTCTTTACATTTCTTGTTATTGTTCTCATAAAACATTCTTTTATAAAACAAATAAAACAAATAAAACTTAAAATAAAATCTGATATCTCAGCAGATTGTCTTGAGAAAGGAACTCTTCCATTGCTAGTCTGTGTTATCTGATGCTATTCAAATTACTTTTTGGAGTTAAATATATATATACATATATATACAATCTATATATTATAAAGCAAAATGTACATAATGTTGAAACAAAAATTCCAAATTTTATAGTAAGTTGTTATTCTTAATAGCTTTATTATTTGAAAAAATATAGATGGAGTCAAATCTAGCTATTGTGAAGCACTTATGCTCAAAAGAATGTAGGGTGCAAAAGTCACGTTAAGCTTCTGCTTAAGTAATCTTAGTTATTAGAAATCATAAAGATTCCTCTTGAACAACTGTCTTCATCCTTTTATAGACAATGGAAAAGCAAAGCAACTTATTCTTATCATCAATATTATTATTATTGTTATCATGTCCTTTTTGCTCTGGGGGCCTTAAGTTCAAACCCTATTTTAAGTTCAGCAAGCACTGAGCACCTCCATACGACAGGCACTGTGCTAGATGCTTAGGAAATAAAACCTAATGAAACACAATCCTGGCCTCTTAGAAGCTGCCTTTTCGAACAATTAACATGACCATTTTTAACTGAGATTTTTTCATAATGTTTTTATAACACCTAATGTCTATATAACATCATTGCTACTTGGCATATTTTGCTTATGTAGATTTATTGATTTATTTATTCCTTTAAATTTGTTCTCGTAAGTAGACACTTGAAATCGTCAATGAAGATATTATTAATTAAATTAATTATATATTATTATTTTGGATCGTTGTAAAATATGCCTGTGTCTCTTACATTGAGCCAGACAAGGTACAGGTGAGTACTTATCCTTCTTGAGGCCAAATATGTGCTGCATCTATGTAATGTCCATTGATTACAAATAACGCTGATTTTACCATAATTACAGCACCAAATGCTGTCTTTTTTTGTTTTGTGTTTTGACACGTGGTAAGTTTAACTGCTTCCAAGGCTATTGATCCCAAATTTTGAAACTAAATGTGAAAGAATTACAAGATCTCTAACAATAAGTGGGAGAGAACAAGAATGTATTTGGCAGAAGCTCACAAGAGGTGATTAATTATTTTCTAATAGATTGTGAAGCAATTAATTCTAATATTGCAATGTGGTTTGTTGAATGAACTTCACCATGCACCAAACATTTCAAAAACCTTTCTATAACTAACTAGAAGTCCAAAACCAATGAATTGCTGCAATTGCTTTACCTGCAGGAAAACACAATTCACTGTACATTAATCGAAATTAATAACTGGAAATTCAGTATCAAAATGTAAACGTTTTGTGTGAGTGTATTAGTTTTGCTTTTTCATTTTTATTTTTTTCCATTCTCTTCCTCTCTTTATTTTGGTTTAAAGGGAACAGTGTTTAATGTATTAACACTTGCTTTGATTAGGTATGGAAGCCCTGGTGGCATAGTGGCTAAGAGCTATGGCTGCTAACCAAAAGGTTGGCAGTTTGGATCCACCAGGCACTCCTTGGAAACATTATGGGGCAGTCCTACTCTGTCGTTAAGGTTGCTATGAGTTGGAATTGACTCAAAGGCAACAGGTTTGGTTTTGGTTTGGGTTTTGATTAGGTATCAATAAAATAGCATATACTATGTATTTTCCTTCATGTTATACTTTACAAATATGTTTTATATATCTATATATATATTTATGAAACATCCCATTATGTATATATATAAAACATATCTATGTATATATATACATATATATTTAAAATAAGCATTTTACTTCTTTCTTTTAAATGCTAAAAAACTTGAGGGAACTATATATTCTGATTTAAATGTGTGTGAAAATACCTAGCGAAGTTCCTATTAAAAATTTACTAAACGTGAGTTGAATCTTAATCCATAATGCTTTTAAATCCATCATAGATTCCCAAATTTTGGCTGAACTATACGGTTCATTTTACAGTCATGTTTAGCTTAATGATTTATATTTATTAAACAGCTTTAGGAAACTTTAATTTTCTAGAAATCTCTAAGTATTTATCTATCTATCTATGTCTTGCATCTTGAATTCTGTTGTATTGATACTAGTTAATTTCCTTGGCATTTCTGCCTTCACATTTGATATTTGGCACACTTTGATGCTGCTGGCATGGGAAATATTTGTTCATAGTAGTATTAATTAAACACACTCTGTTCTCTATATAATGCCTAATTAAAATTCTTGCGCAGGACCTGTTGAAGAGTGAAGTTAGTACTCCTTATGATAATCTTTAACGTGACAGCATATTGCCTTTCCATTTTGCACTATTGTCTTGTAAATTTGATTTGCTTACTATAAACTATATTTTCAAGCCCAGTAATCTTACTAGATACGTTAATAACTCCACTGTCAATGCAAATTATATATGTCTTATCAGGCATCTTCCATCTGAAAGTTCCTGAGTCTTCCCCTGTGGGCTCAGCTATCGGAAGAATAAGAGCTGTGGATCCTGATTTTGGAAAAAATGCAGAAATTGAATACAATATTGTGCCAGGAGATGGGGGAAATTTGTTTGACATCGTCACAGATGAGGATACGCAAGAAGGAGTCATCAAATTGAAAAAGGTACACAGACAAACTTTTAGACAGTTGAGTATAATTAAAGAAGGGAAAAAATGAGAATTAAAATGACAAATAATTTTAATTTTTTTTCTATTAAAAACAAAAATAGATTCAATAACCATGAGGTATTTACTTCCAAAGGCACTTTTATTCTGTGATTCAGCAGGAATATATGTTGAGTTTTAATGAGCAAGTCTATTAATTTGATTATTATTATTATTTTTAATCTTAGCAGAGTTTAATGATAATTTTAAAAGTTGGTTATAAACACAGAAAAATTTTAATGCAAAAATAAGACTCAGAAGTGAATTCCAGCCTCACTGGTCTTGACTCATTTATAACTTTTCTGAAAATATAAATATGTAATTCACACATTCTTGGTGATAGCTGAAATCATGGTAAAGGAAACCCAATATCGATAAGCTCTAATCACTGAAGGACTGGAAGAAATCTGAAAGGATAATGATAGGTTTGTAGGGATCATAAGGAAGAAAGCAAAAAGAATTAGTGGGAGAAAAACTAAGGTGAATGGTGAAAGAAAGCCTTTTAACCAGATTAAATGGGTAAATGCAGAACAGGGTTGCACAAGGGCAGAGCAAAGTCAGTTGAAATTTTAGAAAGAAATCATTGCATTCATGCATTCAGCATATGTAGTTTTCTCTTTTGTTGAGTTGTGGCAATTGCGGGGGGGACACTGCCATCAAGTCGATTCAGATTCCTAGGGACCCTATAGGGTTTCTAAGGCTGTAAATCTCTACAAAAGCAGACTGCCACATCTTTCTTCCTCAGAACCACTAGTGGTTTTGAGCAAATGACCTTTTCTGTTAGCAGCCGATCGCTTTAACCATTGTGCCACCAGGTGGCATGGGTAAGAAGTGTATAAATGTGAAAAAGCAAGACTCCCTGTACTCAAGTAATTTCCATTTCCATTGAAGCAGTCAGTTGATGAACAAGTAAATTAAACATCACTATGAGCACTGAATAAGGAAGACCAAAGAAGAATTGATGCCTTTGAATGGTGGTGCTGGCGAAGAATGTTGAATATACCATGGATTGCCAAAAGAACAAATTTTCTTGGAAGAAGTACCACCAGAATGCTCCTTAGAAGCAAGGATGGCAAGACTATGTCTTATATACTTTGGACATATTGTCAGGAAGGATCAGTCCCTGGAGAAGGACATCATGCTTGGTAAAGTACAGTGTCAGTGAAAAAGAAGAAGATTGTCAATGAGATGGATTGACACAGTGGCTGCAACAATGGGCTCAAGCATAACAATGATTGTGGTCATGGCGCAGGGCGGGGCAGTGTTTCTTTCTGTTGCACACAGGGTCGCTATTAATTGGAACTGGCTTGACAGCACATAACAACATCAACATGAGCACTGATGGCACAGTGGTTAAGAGCTCAGGCTGCTTACTCAAAGGTTAGCAGTTCCAATCCACCAGCTGCTCTCTGGAAACCCTATGGGACACTTCTACTTTGTCCTTTGAGTTGCTATGAGTTGGAATCAACTCTACCGCAATGTTTTTTGTTTTGTTTTGTTTTTGTTTATGAGCACTGATGGAGGCCTGTTGGTGCAATGGTTAAGTGCTTGGCTGCTAACCAAAAGGTCAGCAGTTGAAACCTACCAAGCCACTCCTGGGAAGCACTATGAGGCAGTTCTGCTCTGTCCTTTAGGGTCACTATGAATTGGAATCGACTCAATGGCAATGGGTATGAGCATTGATAAGTTCCAGTACAAGGATGTAAAGCATGGTGAGCTAATAACAAGCATCGTGACAGGTAGAAACTCTCTTATAGTGAGGTAGTCAGAAAAGACACCTATGTTAGGCTAAAATTTGAGCATAGACCTGAAGGAATGAGGGGTGATCCATGCAGTGTCTGGGGGATGTGCATTTCAGAAAGGATGAGCAGTAACAGCAAAATCTCTGAAGTGGGAGTGTCTGGGCAAGGTGGTCAGTGGGACTGGAATACAGTTAGCGAAAGGGAGTGTGGGCAGAGATGAGATCAAAGAAGGAGAAGAAGGGCTTGTCATGGAGAGTCTTGTAGGACACATCAAGGACTTTGGATTAGACCATGAGATGGGAGGCCAAGGGTCGGTGCCGATATAAATGATCTTTTCAGGGGATTTCTCTGGATGTTCTGAGGAGAATAATGACTAGAAGAGTAAGGATAGAAATAGGAGCGGTTAGAAGACTATAGAAATAATCCAGAAATGAGTTGACGGTAACGTGAAACCTGATGTAGGTAGCAACAGAGACTGTGAGACATGAGGAGAGTCTGGCTGGGTTTAAGTAACAGCCAATGTATATGTTTATACATCTTTTGATAATCTGCTAAATTATAACACCTGATAGAATACATGGATTTTGCTTCCAGTGCTGTAATTTGTTTTACTCTCTAAATAAGGATCCACCAGAGACAATCCTTACTTACCAATCTATTATTCTTTTGGGAAAAAAAAATGCAACTTGAAAACCGTATCAAGAAAGCATTTTTTGCAAGAAAATTTAAAATCTATCTATCTGTCTTATATATTGTAAAGTGTGTGTGTGTGTGTGCACGCATGCACACCGCAGGTAGATATCTGACTTGATTAAACATGACAGTATGCTTCAATGCAAATGCAATGAGAAAATATTCTGTTGAATAAACTCTTGAAAAATTCAAAATTACTTTAAATAACTGCAGTTGTTTAAATTCACAGTACTTTTTCAGATACTCTGTTGTAAGACTATTCATGCATATATTCAGTGAGTTCTCAGAAATCCTTACCTTGAATTTATCTTTAGGAGTCCTTGAAGAATTAGTGTATAATAATAAATACGTATGTAAGAATCAAGTATAACTTTTCATTTCTCTAATTATCTTAAAATTAGTTTTTAAGTTTTCCCTTCAGTATTTCAGCATAGACTTGCAATGCAAAATATGTGACATAAAATCAAATTCATATAGGAATTATGTTCTTAGATACAAAGTCCCAAAATCTACATTCTGCATTTGAATAAATAGCTATTTTTAAATATCAATTATTTTAATATTTTGGCAAACAGTGTTTGAGATGCAGTGGAGAAAAAGAAGCAAGATATGCTTTGTCTTCAGAGAGTTTTTTTTTTTTTAATCTCACTTAAAATACATTAAATTGTTTAAAGTTCTCGGAAGTATGTTTTTTCCTTATTTTTAATCTTCAGATTTGTTTATTTGCTATTTTTTTAATATTCCATCCCACTCTCTCCTATTCTTCTATAGAAGGAGGGTCTAAGTGGATTAAAAAAAAAAGATGGTCAGGTTTATATGAGCTGAGAAGGATGAAAAAGGGCATTTTTACTCCTTTTATTTTTTTTTAATCTTAACTTGGGTTTACTTAATGAGCACTGTGACAGAATGCTGTTTCACCGTGTCGCTTTGAATTTAAAATAACATTATGAAACTTTATACACCTCTCCAAGACATAAGATATTGGTTTAAAAAAATAAAAACAAACTATTCTTACTCTACTTTTATCATATTATACTGATCAAAAAAATTTTTTTTAAATTCCCTGTGTTGTTACATATATATAACAATACTTTTTTTTTAATTTTTATAAGTAAAACTCGTTAAAATATTCACTTCATCTAAAAATTAGGAACTAGGTTAAATTTAAAATTAAAGAATAGTATGTTTTCAATTGAAAAAATAACTCTTAAGTGAAGAGCTAAATAAAATATATGTTTTTAAGCAGTGGATTTTTTTTTTCCCTACTGAATAAGTGAGACTAAAATACATACCTATTGGATATAAGTAAACATATAAAATTATATGAATTAAAAATATTCAAGGGCTGAAAATCCAAGTATCTATATAGAGCCACTATGGTTTTCTTGTCACTGATTAAGAAATCTGGGCAATTAAAATAGTGAGTTAATACTCATGCAAAAGACCAATTTTAATATCCTGCCTAATTTCTAGAATAGTTTCATCCCCTTTCTACTAAAGTAACAATTAGAACTACTAAGTTCCAGAACTAAGAACTACTGTTTACAATACAAAATGGTCAACCGATTTTCTTTTATTTTAAAATTTAAGTACAACTTTTTGAAGTTAACAAAAATCACCTTAGAGTTTACCTTATTAATATGATGTTACTTGGCAATACTTTATCATCTCAAATTAACGTAAATACAGGATCGCATTGAATCCAAAGCAGATTTTTTTTTTTCCTTAAAAATACAAGAGATAAAAAGATGCTCCTCTTCACAAAGACCCTTTAATAAATAGGCTAAGTTCTCAAATGGTCCCATTTGTATTTAACTTGTGTCCAGTAAGTCAGTAACACTCAGTTACTTCCTTTTCGCAGTCCTGGCAAGTGGCAATGCAGTGACTCCACATCAAGTGATTTGACAACAGGGCACCATCATGTGGTTAATTCTTGAATAACTCTTCACAACATGAAAAAAAAATTTTGAATTATCTATTTTATACAGTGAAGTATGCACCTCTATTAAGTTTAACATACTATTTTTAACTACCGCAACGTTCAGAATTTCAAAGAAAAATAAGTCATGTTTTTTACTTGTCTGCATAAATACTATGTTGCTGGGTTTTTTTTTTTCTTAATTTGAGTCTTCATCTTTCTTATACAACCTTCCTAGCTTTCCTAAACTTTCTCATCAACTCTAATTTAGCCCCAAATCAACGTAACATCGTGAATTGTTCTACCATTTTTTAGACATTTCTAACTGTCTGTGGCAGTCTCTTCAAGCTCAAAATGTTTGAAATCAAATTCCTTCTCTTCTCCTAATAAAAGTGGGCCTGTTCATATTTTCTCCCTTTTGGGTAACACCCCGTCTTCTAATTAGTCCTTAGACCAGAAATCTAAGATTTTTCTTACTCTGCTTCTTTACCCATTGCCTCCTCTTGTCAAATTAGACTCAAAGCCTGGCCATTAATTTTCCAGAACATGGGTTAAAATTTCCCCTTTCTTCTTCTAGTGGTTTGACTTACAGCCGTCATAGCTGTT